TAAGTTCTGGTCTTTTTCTTTGGAAAGAGATACACATTTCAAAAAAGGATTTTGGAACATGCACCTGTAATAATTGCAGCTGACAGAATAAACTAAGAGTGAAACTATGTTAAGTAGAGCAGTGCAATTTTAAAAACATTTTGCAGGAATTAAGACTACCTGATAATAATTCTTAACTGAGACTTGCATTTATGGATAGTTCTTGCTGTTTACCTTTCTATATCATTCAACACAAAACAAAGCACAAGGTTTGACATTCATATTATGCACTGGTCACAGATTCACCCAAAAGCTACAGTGAATGGAATTTTTGCATCACCATCCCTGACCAGCTAATAACAGTTGTTATTGAAGGTTTACATACAGATTCACAAACATTACCCCAGCAATAAGATCTCAATTTGGTATTTGTGACCTGAATAACGCTTTTAAGGTACTTTTAAATACATACAGCAATAGCAAGTACATAAAAAAGCTGGAGAAGACCTCCAAGATCATTCAGCCCAACAGTCTACCTATCACCAATATCTCCAACTTAACCATGTCCATCAGTACATCTAAATACTTTTTGAACACCTCCAGAAACACACTGACTCCAGCACCTCCCTGAGCAGCCCATTCCAGTGCCTGATCAATCTCTCGAAGCAATATTTCCTAATGCTCAACCTGAAACACAACTGGCACAAATTGAGGCCATTCTCTCTAGTCCTGTGAACAGTCACATGGGAGAAAAGGTCGATGCCCATCTCTTCACAATCTCCCTTCAGGTATCTGTACAGAGAAATAAGGTTTCCCCTGAGCCTCCTCTTTTTCAGACTTTCATTTCATGGCCCCTTTTTGGCACATAAGATAAAAATAGTTCTACATTAATCTAAAAAATTTTGGCAAACACCATTTTTTCATTTTATACAGACTATGAGTTGTTAAAGCATTTAGTTCTATTATTATAAAGGACCAATGAAAAGCACTTATTTCCCATAAACTTGTAATTTCTATTTGTTGTATTCAATCAGTTCTATTCATAAATATTTAAATTACCATCATTCTTTCTACTGTGATCACAGAAGGGCCAACATACACATCTGCACTGCACTGAGTGAGAATAAGCTATTTACTTACTTCTAGTATCCCTCGAGATTTTGTAAGCCACTATAAAGGCCACCTGAAGTACCTGCTTTGAAATTTCATTTTGTAAGCAACTATAAGGGAGAAAATATTAATTTTAGAAAAGAGCAACAGAAGACCGGCATTAAACACAATATCATCTTCATTGCACAGAAGACATTACATAAAAAACAGAAGATCCTCAAAAAAGTGCATCAGATGAGTTTTATTTTTCAGAAGAAAAAGCATTCACAAATCTGTATCCTCTACTTCTCCTTTTTGTTTGGCTTCAGCCTCCTATGCTTCCAGCCACCCTTTCAGACAAGGTTAAATACATCTTGCTCTGACTAAATCTAAAACCACATTCTCTTATATAAAATCTCTTATATAAAATTTGGGACTATATGGTGAAGGAAAACAAACCAACAAAATAAAATGCTAAGATGGAGCTGGATAACTCTCAGAAGAGAATTTTACATTGTGCAGCTGGAGCAGTGAAAGATTGACCCGATTGTTCAAGATGATTCCCCTCAGTCCCATGGTTGTAAGATGTACAGAGATCTATACATCCCACTTTAATTAAACAAATGGAAAAAAACTATCAAGTACCTTTCTGTATGCTCTATTTTACACAACTTGTTACATCTAGTAAATATATCTAGTGGGTATACGCCATAGCAACAAAAACAAGCTCACGATATATATGAAAGCAGCTGATAACACAAAAGCCACGTCAGGCTTACTTGTAGTCAAAACACTACACAAGCCAGTAAGCACTTTCAAATTCTTGTAACATTTTGCAGACTGGGACTTTAGCGAGTACTTCAAAGGCAGTTCACCCTCTTTAGTATTTCCCTTCTTTATTAGTGCCTCAATATCTGATTTTCTGAAGGAGAGAGGGATTATTAGAGGAATTATTACACCACTGCTTATATTTTTATCTCAAGTTATCCTGCCCATCTCTCTTACTCATTTTGCAAACAAAAACAGATTGACAAAAATAATTCACAGGATATATGCAATTACACATATACCACACAGATACATATATACCATATAAAAATGTGTATACATATATATATGTGTGTGTGTGTGTGTGTGTGTGTGTGTAAATACATTTACAACAGTCAATGATTTAATTTGCTCTTAAGGAGAATTAGTTTCTACTAGAAAAAAAACAAACTTCCTGTTGTCTGTGACAAAAAATGAAGCAGTAAAATTTACAGCTGTATTATGAATTTACAGTCCTTAGATGACAGAAACATTTCTAATTAAGTATGTCAATGAAAAAAGATTTCTCACCTGCAAGTGCTAGTGTGGCAGTACTGATAATAAAGCCCGTAGATATGCATTCATATTTAAATGAAATGTAATTGCCTAATCCTTTAAAACGAAAAAAAAAAACTTTGAGAGCAAGCTGGTCAGCATAATAGTGACAATACCTTTTAATTTTGCCCAACTGGGTTCAAAGATCAAAATCCTATTGAAGTGTTTTTAAATGCCAGTTAAAAATCACAGCTAGAAATGCGCGTGGTATGCTTGATTATAGCCATCCCCTTTATAGCTCAAGTTTATGACACAAATACCACTAATGCCTACTCTCAGTTCTTTTTCAGCCTTCTGAATCTTCTGATTCTTTCTGCGTAGCACTCTCCTGCTGAAGGTAGATATCATTTAAAACCCATACTTAAAAATGAGGGCTCTTCAGCCTTCACCACATTCAAATGTCTTAAAATCATATTTTACTATTTATGGTATGTTTTATATTTTAGTTGCTTTAGCTACAAGGCTGTCTTCTAAAGCATCCTTGAAAAATGATTTAGGAATTACTACAGACTGTGGGCCTGTGACTGATATCCCACCTCCTTTTCCATGACACAGTGCTTGTATTTCTGTGCCCATTTAACTGCCTTGTACAAGAGACTGAAAAAAAAATTCTTTCCTTCTCTTTCTTCCATTCCCTTTTCTTACCTAAATAAGCAATTCGTTAAAGATGGGAAAAACAAGCAAACAAAGAAACTTAATTCTGCACTGCATTTTTGTATAGGAGCCATTTCTTCAGCTGTATGAACCCAAATTTTTTTTGCTGCTCTTCAGCATAAATATGAATAATTTTGTTCCAGCTGTTAGGCAGACAAACTTCAGAGAGAATGAGAGGAGTTCAACAGTTATCAAATCTATCACGCTACTGCTAAGAGGTATAGAGACAAACCCACTGGAAATATAAGGTACTACACTGTATTTAAAAATAGATTGAAAATTTGGAAACGAAAAATGAAAAAACAGACAAACATATACTATCAGCTCAAGGAATAAAGAACTGTGGAATGGGTAAAAAAAAAAAAAAAAACAAACAATTATGGTTCAAGCATTTTTAATTTAGAGTAATGTATCTTTTAAATTTTTTTCAAAAAAAAAAAAAAAAACAATTCAAAAATTATTCCCTGCCAATGCTACTGCTCAGTTATAAGACCTCAAGATGTAGTTATGAAAAGTGCTTTTTAAAAAATTGGTCATATTTTGATCACTTGGATTGTTTCTTCTACACATTTGAAAACATCAGAAGTGGTCAAAAATCATCACACAGTGAAAAATAATAATTTCACAATCACCACGCATGCTACCATACCATCATAATATTTTAGGACACCAAATCGAAACAGTGAAATAAGAAAATTCTGAAGAAGGAAAAGTTTTTATTTTGTTTGGAATAAATCTGTTCTGTATTCCTACATTCTATTAAAGAAAAATAGAGTTTGACTCTTAGTTTGATTTTAACTTAGTAGGCACTTAAATTATGGAAAATGTGATGGAGTGCTACTCGCATGACTGCGGCTCACCACCCATATTAATTCTTTGTATTCACAAACACACAATTTGCCATTGCTGAAGAGCAGGTCACATCTCACACCTCTGGACTGGAGCTGTCATACTCACTTTGAGTTTGGCTTGGCCTGTGTGGAGTACTTGGTTTCAGCTTGTTTTGCTGTAAGAGTAGTAGCCTAATAACCAGAAGGCTGCCATTTAATTTTCCTTTTGTTTCACTAGGTGTACTTTCAAAGCAATACATAATTTTTGTTAATACTTTTGATGTGGATTAGAATGACTAAATTCAAGACCTCTGAAGACCAAATGCAGTGGAACTAGAGCTAATCTTTTTCTTTTATTGAAAGAGCACACACTGTGCCATAATTACAGCCATTAAAGGTATTTCACATTCCTCTGGCTGTTGGGCACACAATGAACTGGAAGCTTTTCAAGCTTTTATTTTTAAACAATGCAATGAATATGTACCTTGAATAAAGGAACTAGAAATCATCCCATTTCTTTCTTCTTTTCGATATCATTTTGATCCATATCCCAGTGGATACATTTAGAAGTTCATATGTACTACAAGCACTTATCCCAGACACCTTTGGCATTCAGAGAACAAGCACCCAGCAGAAGCATATTACAAATCAGTACACCCCTCTGAATCCTAAAGCACCAATTAAAGCAGTACATTTGTTGCTGGGTTTATCACAACTGCTTTTACCAGCACTCAATAAGAAAGGGTGTAGGGAAACGTGCTACCATTTTCATTTCTGTAACAACGTCAAGACTGCACTTGTTTTCACTTGTGCACAACAAAGATTTTTTTAGTGCAGTTGGCATCAAAGAATATCATCTACAAATTCTCCATTACCAAAATCCCTCAGAAATAAGGACACAAACAGATGCCTTATCGACTTCATTTAAGAGTTCTCTATAATATCATGACTGCTACATTACGCCTGTTTAAATACAACATTTTGATGTATCAAAATCTAAAAATAAAAAAAAAAGACATTTTAGGAAGACAAAGCAAGAGATAGGAAAGAAAACTGAAAAAAGAATAGGCTTATCTTTGTACTTACGAAAAGCTCTATAGAATTCTTCCAGACCGAGGTGCTTGTCACTATTATAATCATCATATTTCAGCAAATCGAACAGAGAGCAGTCAGACAGATCCTTGCCAAGCTCATCCCGTTTTATTACCTGACAAGAAAATTATAACCATGAAATTACATTTGGGCTCTTAGAGTTCTCTAGCATAATTAATTGTTTCTAATAATCATTTAATAGATCATTTTAAGGTTGCTGTGAAGCAAAGAACTGAAACCATGTGAAGTCAGGGATTTTCCAGTTACTTTGTAATTATTTATTGCAGTTTTAAAGTTTATATCTTTAAAAAAGACTTCCTGAGATTAATAAAAAAAACTCAGAACATGTAGAAAATATATATAATCTGACTATACAGAAGCACTGTAGAGAAACTACAAATGACAAAGCTGATTTTACTTATTCACGATCGCAAATGGTGATTTAGAAAATTTTGAATATCCATGAGAAGATAATTTCCCAAGCATACGTGATTTTCTCCTCTCAGTAATTCCTAACAAAAAACAAAAAAAAAAAAAAAACAAAAACCACCAAACCACTCATTTTCAAAATTAACTAAAATAAACACCAATTGCCCTGCTAATTTTATCAGCTTCTTAGAGGCTTTTGAAAAGCCTATTATCTTTCTGAGGACCTGCTAACAAAGTAGTTGACCTGAAAAGACCACTGTTTCATTATGGGTGCACATCCACTTAGTAAACAATTCATAATTAATAGCTACCAGTTCTTCTCTCAAATGAACTTCTCCACGAGAAGTGTTCTTTAATTTGCGCACCGCTTATGTTTAAAGACCTGGACATCATCCAAGGTATTAAGATGTTTGTATGTGAAGATATTCTGAATTTTAATTTTAGATAGCACACATAGAAACGTTTTCGTATCTGAAAGAACCAAAGCTAATACAACTCTTCTAATCATCTAATGGCTGCACAGTTTTGTACCATTCACAGAAAAATGAAAGCAAATACAGTTCATTCATTTGTAAAATAATTGCTCCTCCTGTCCTCTACCTGTATCCCAAAACTAGAAAACTAATGCATTTGCATTATATGATAGTTCCTGAAAAATCAAGCAATACAGATGCTTTTGTGTTCAAGTCATTCTACAAAAGAACCAGCAGGAATAGAAAAGAATGGATTCAGTTATTATTCACATAAATACAAAATGTCTAAACATATCAAAGAGAACAATAGGAGTATTACAGAGAAGAGAAAGGACAAATATGTTTTCCTCCAGCAAGTTATTTTCTGTACACTAACATAAACACTTTATAAAAAGATGGCAACCTTGTTAGCACATGAACAATTATGAAAACCATTCACAAAGATAAGAACTAACACAAAGCAACATTTAGTTGTTATTACTTACAGAGGCACACAATGCTACCTGAACATTAGTGCCAGCTACTCCTAACGCTTTAAAAGCCCTTCTTTAAGTACAAAAGACTCAAGTTTTCAACACATACTGTTGCATCTTTTACTGTGATTGAAATCTGAGCTTTCAAGTCTTGAAATGTAGTTAAAATCACAACTGGTTCATGGAAATGCAACACTTGGAGGATAAGAAACACTGCTGCTTTGCTTGTTTTTTCATAAAATCTGGTCTAAAATTGGTTAAAACACTCACTCCCATTAGCTTCAGTTGTTAAATCCTTGTTTGTACATCACATCACACGAGGCAATAAAATCCACCAACACTTACAACTACTGTCCTGTATTTTAAGGTGTATATTAATATCATCAGATTCCATCTTTTGAGCTGTAATCTCTCATGATGCTTTCCATCTAATAATTTGTTCAATTTTATTTTAAAAATAGAAATAATCATTCATATTTGATGAACGGTTAGTCCAAATGACTGCGGTAATCCCTAGTATGATTCTGTGGGTAGCTATCATTTCTCCTGCCATTCAATTCTTATCTTTAGCAAGCTAAACATTTGATTACAGATATGAGATTCAGTGTTTGTTTATACACTGCAAAATACTTTGTGCATCTTTAGAAATTTCAATCACTTTTAATCAATATTCAGAACTCCCCAAAAGATCTGTGACGTCAAGTTTTAGAAAGTCAAGAAGAGATTTTGTATCACAATTAGTCTTCATTAACTGTGATTTTCTGTTCCAACTGTTGCAGATTCATCCACTTCTAGCCTCTAGATGTGATTGGATTACACTGCCTAATTCTCTGAAAGGAAAACTCATCTCTGTGGAGTTTTGTATGATTTTTCCCCACCTATCACAAGGCCAGAGCAGGCATTAGAATATGGCAATCTGGATTTTGAAAAAGAAAATTGGAACTACATGTTTTAGTGGAAAACTGGATTTAGATCAGATTGGCTGTGATATGAAATTATAACCTGTGTAAGACTTTGGTAAAGCTGTTTACTTACCAAGTTATTAGCAAACAGAAAACATAACTATTGTTTTAAAATCAGCAGGATCAAACTAACTGTTCTTGGGAGTTCCTAACTCACCATATTTGTCTTGTTGACAGAACCTTTTAACAGATGTTCACTTATCAGTAAAATTCCTTAAGGTGGGATATATTATGACAGCACAAAAAAAAAATCTGTTCAAGAAATAAACAGCAGAATCCACATCTGAAGGCTGGATATATTTTGTACTAAGTGTTGCAACTTTTTTTTTTAAACACCACCTTCTAAGAAATACAGCCTGTCAGACAAGCTCATTTCCATTTTCTTTCACTTATTCTAGGGATGTAATTTGCAAAGGTACATTGCTAAGCTTAACAGCTTCTTGAATGTATTTTTAATTTCACACACAGTATCATCATAAGAAAACAAGAACAAATTAATCAACCTCTGCCGTATCAATAAAGATACGTTTTTCTTAAATAAATGTATCAGTAAAAAAAAAAGAAGTGTCAATAAGGAACTCAATAGTATTTTGGAAGTCTTGTGACTCATTCTGACTATTTTGATCATTTAAAATAAATACAAAAACCAAATCGGCAGATGGCATATACAGGTGAAGTGATTAGTAATGTGGAGAAGGATAGGGCTGCATAGAGAATAAAATGGATCAACATGGTTAGATGTTATCAAGGAAGGATCTGTGGTTACAGAGTCAAATATAAGGTAGTTACTATAAAAACAAGAATCTAGACCGTACCTAAGTGAGGATAAATGTACCTCAGAAAGCATTTCATCTAAAAAGATTCAAGATTTGCCGTGGTTAAGTCAGCCTCATAAATTCCAAGATCACCCAGAAGCCTAAGCAAGCAGTAGCAATATGATCTTTGGAAACGTAACAAGGTAACTGAAGTTAGAAAAGCAATTTCTACTTGTTTGTATTCAAATGTTGAAACTCACGTTAGAACAGTCAGATTTCCTTTGCACATATTAAATTTAATGTTCAGAAGCTAGATGTTCAAGTTAGCAGAAGCTACATTTTTCAAGTTAGAAGTGATCCAAAAAAAAAGTAACATTAAACCTATCAAAATGCCTTACACTAAGTCTACTAAAATGCTTTACACTAAGAGAGATGAGAAAAATCAATCTCTATGATTTTGATGCTGTTGATTTTTTTTCCCCCACTGTTTTTAAAGGAATGCTATCAGCTGACTGTAGTATCAGTTCAATAGATAGGGAAATAGGGAAAGTACAGATGCTCCACTTGACAAAAGTCTATAGGAGAAGAAAAAAGAACAACATCTCACATTCTCAAAAATAAAAAAATCTAGTAGGGAAATTAGCCTTAAATTCTAGGACCTGTAGATTCTCCTCGATGTCTTCAACATATTTTGGGCCATCTCATTCATTTTATGTTAACCTGGTAAACAAAAGAAATGTACCCAAGCCTTCAAAATTACAGACATTAGTTCGTAAGTAAGGATGACAATACATTTCACTGATGAGAAGGAGAAAAGGTTTACTATTCTAAAATGATAATTCTAGAATCCCTGGGACAAATCCGTTGTTTTCCCTTTCCTAAAGCGAGGGTGTTCCCAGCATTCTTCTCTGTACCTTAGCAGTACATCCCCTTCCTTTATCAAATCTAGTTTCAAGTCCTGATGATGAGCCTCATCAGCTTGCTGCCTAATGTATTCTTGCTCCTGCTGGTCAGATGTGTCCCATCCTACATCAACGTTCCCAGTTTATAAAAAATGGTTCCTAGATCACAGAAAACAAAACCCTGAGCACACCATCCACATAGTTATTCCATCAACTGATCTGTTCTTCTGCCCAGATTCCAGCCTCCTGTTGGAAGGATTGAGTAGAACACTACCTGTACACCGGATCCCTCAAGCATATTCTCAAGTGATGTAAAGTCTGTCTTGATATTTTTAAGTTTCTTAGTCACAGACTCACGTGAGCCAGCTAAAAATACCAGGAGCAGATTGTAACCCTTTGGCTTCAGTCCTACCCGGTACTGTCTTCCCCAGTTCTCTCTGCAGGAACTATCCTGGCAGCAGGATAAATACAAATATTCATAGATAATTAGAAGAGTCAGCAACATTATTTTAGATTAATTTAAATTCTTTCAAAGAAAATTATTAAAATGCAAACAAAATAATAACAATTTAAAAATTAATATTCACAAAATTTTATTGTAGACTACCTTGCCTGACATTTACGCTGTGTAACGAAGCAAGAATTGTTTCTGAGCTAGTTTTACGATAGATTACAGAGCCATGAAAAAACCCCAGTCAGATGTCAGAACTGCCTGAATGAAAGAAAAGAAATAACAGAAAATAAATAACAGTCTGCAACCCAAAAGTGTAGTGCTAAACATTAAAGCGTATGTTTTAAACTATTTCAGACTTGAAACAGCATTTTTTTTTAATAAAAAAATAACTGCGTTACTTTTTCTGAAGTGTAGAATTGTTTTCCCTTCCATCAATATTCTAAGGCAAAAACTTCATAATTTCAGATCAAAAATATTTTAATACATTTGTAGTATTGGCGCCTTCATTTCAAGACTCTGATTACCCTCAATTTCACATTAGGGAGTAAAGCTAGATGGACATGTGTTAAAGAAAGTGAGAGAATTTGCACTCACTGCAACGCAAAATGATCTTCACAAGGACAGCGTGAGAGAACTGGGGCTGTTCAGCCTGGAGAAAAGGTGGCTCTGGGGAGACCTGATAACTTTTCAGTATCTAAAGAGAGGCTTATAAGAAGGAAACGGACAGAGGTTCTAGCAGCATCTGTTATTGTAAGACAAGGAGAAATGGTTTCAAACTAAACTAAACTAAAAAAAGTGAGTAGAAGTTGTTTTTGTTTGTTTCTTTGTTTACAATGAGAGTGGTGAGGAACTGAAACAGGTTGCCAGAGATGGTGGATGCCCCCATCCTTGGAGACACGTAAGGCAGGCTGGACAGGATTCAGAAACCTGATGTAACTGTAGGTGTTCCTGTTCATTTCAAGGCAGTCGGACTAGACGGCCTTTAACAACCCTTCCAAATCAAATGATTTTATGATTCTACGAAAATAGAGGAGATGAAATTTAGAGCACTAAAAAGTGAAGTTGTTGTTCAATATTCATTTGAACAAAAAATAAGTTCATGATCTTTCCTTTTTTTTTTTTTTCCTACAATAAAAAAAATACTTTTGATAATCTCTGAAGATGATTATATTTTAAGTGCAGAAAAGTAGTATTCACAACATCACTGTGGTTGGAAGGGACCTCTGATATCACCTACAGATCATCCAGACTGCCCAATTTTGACTGTGAGGAAAACTGAAAAACTGTTCTGTTTATGATAATATTTCTGAGTGAAGCAAAGACTCCTATTCAGCCTTAGGGCAGTACCAAGACCATTTTCTCCCCCACACAGAGAGAAATGCACACATAAATGGTAAAATATAATTATCTTTCCAAGAAAATTAATAATCACTTTTTCAGTGTGAGGAAACTTTCTCACTCTGCAGATCAGTCAACTTCCAGACTGGGACTTCTTGTTCCTTTTCTCCTTCTCACAACAATTTTAATTTTCAGAAATACGTATGGCTACTACATACACAAGGGGGGGAAGAAAGCAGCAATCTAATTTGACTTGACACTGGGTAATAAAAAAACCAAAGCATTCAGTTGGTTGAACTCAGCAGAATACACAAGTCAGGCTTTCAACAGGCACAACCAATGGTCTGAAAACCAGAGTTTTCAACTGAAGATCCTACACCAAGTCCTTGTAATTTGGTTTCTTGTTCTGAATCTTTATTTAGATCTGAGTCATATGTTCCGTTCACCACAATTATGCAGACAAAACACTTAATCAGACAAAAGATAAAATTTACAACTGCTGAGATTATACGAGAGCTGGTGCTTAACTGCAAGACTACACACAATTCTGGATAACCAAGATGATTTACTGTTCCCCACTTTGTCTTAGGTAAGGAAGACAGAGGTTCTCAGATGAAGCTTCTGCTGTCAAGAAGGCTTCAAGTGAAACGTGTACCATTATTTTTTTTTTCTCTATTCAAACTGACTGAACAACTTGTTCTGGAGTCAACGTGTATTCTTTACGACTCATCAAAATAAACCACACAGTATTAACAATTATTTCATTTTGTTGTTATTCTTTGGATTTCATGTTCTGCTATGAATTTTAACAAAAAGCTCTGTGACCAGAGTTAAAGACAGTTGTTTTTTTTTTCTCTATGCATATGAAAAAAGTGTTGCTTTACCGTTGTTACTAAAAATCATTTCTACAAAAGAGACACATATGGAAAAAAATATTTATATTATTGTAAATAACATATAGCATGGTTGAAAATACCACACTGGAAGATTTTTTTTAATCTATGTTTGGCAGCAAGAAAGAAATAAAAGAGAAGTGTATACAGTGCAATTAAATTTCAGTAACTTCATAAACATTTGGAAACTCTGCAAAAACATTTTTTCTATTGACCTTCAATGCTATGATGGCTACTTAGAGAATAACTTGCCCCCTATTTTATTATGTTGGCCCATGATGTCATATGTCAATGCTGGTGGTATTACAGTAGGGGTCAAATCTTTCCACCAATATTCCGTTACATGTTGTTGCCATGCAACAGTTAGCAGCAGAGCATAAGTCTGACAAAATGGTATCTGACATGAAAGTGCATATAATGCACAGGTGGGTCACTGAATTCCTCCATGCAGAAAAAAATGGCACCCACTGACATTCAGCAATAGGAGCACTATGAAGAGGTGGGAGACAGCAAGTCACCTCCACTGGTACAGATGTTTATGAGTACAGCACCCAGGCTCTTGTTCATCACTGATGAAAATACACAGCTAATGAAGACTACTTTGAAAAAATAGCATTTTATAGCTGAGAATTTGCTTCAACAAATGGAGCTATTGTGCTTTTTGTACATGTTGCAGTTTCCGAGGAAATAAATAGGAAGCATTACTTCTCGAGCAATGTATGTAGTACTTTAGTCCTGCTCCTCTAATGAAAAATCATGGTACATTGATAGATAATGATTTTGTAGTAGTGAAAGAAGTTATTTTTCAGTAATTACATGGGGGCTATGGCAAGAAAAAAAGATACTAAAAAATGGTAAAATAGAAAAGAATCTAAAATTCAGTTTATTTATACTATCAACCAACACACTAAATTCTAGCATGATTTGTTTCAATTGTATACAAGTAGTACACGTAAATCGTACAGATATACCTGAGAGAACTTTGTATGGTATGTACTTATGCAGTACAGTAAGTACCATTTGTAAAACGTATGAAGGCACCAAATTCACTTAATAGCAGAAGTTCCAAAAGATTTTGAAAAACATCCTGAAAACACATCACCACAAGTCTAACACAAGGCTCCATACAGAACCACCCAATTCAAACCTTGTATCTTTCTTAGAGCAGTGTCAAAACACTACTTGAACTCTGGTAGCTCGGGAACATGGCCACTGCCCTCTGATGAAGAACCTTTTCTTAACTCCTCTCCTGATCCTCCCTGACACAGCTCCATGCTGTTCCCTTGGGTCCTGTTGCTGTCACAGAAAGCAGAGCTCACCACAGCGCTTCACTCCCTCTGTGGAACCACTATAAGGGCTCTCCTCAGCTCCTCTGCTCTAGGCTGAGCAAACCCTCAGCTGTCCCTCATAAATCATCCTCTAGACCCTTTACTACATTTGTGGTCTTTATATTGTGGTACTCCAAAACTGTACACAGTGTTTGAGATGAGGCTGCACGGAGCAGAACAACCCATCCCTCACCTGAATGGCAGTGCTGAGCCTGATGCTGCCCAGGTTAAGGTTGGGTCTTTAGGCTGCCAGGGCACACTGCTCACTCACGTTCAATTTGCCATCAGCCAGAACCTTGAGAACACAGAGCTACCCTGTCCCCAGATATACATCAGAACCAAGCACACTATTACGATTTATAATGCAGCCTCCATTCAGCAAAATATTTTTTTTAGTGGCTGTCTAGTATTCACTGTTTCAAATTTGATGGTTTTTGACAGAGTTTCTCATAAGTAAACTTTGATACTGTCCAGTCAATCAAAATACATTTCCCATGACAACATTCATCAGAAACTTAGCATTCTTAGGTAAATGATAGCTACTGCTGTCATGCCTACTGGTGCAACCATTATTGGTCTAAGTCTGCAATTAATAAAGCTTGCTGATTAGAAACACAGTAAAAGCTCAATTGGTATTATTGAATTGCTTTGAAATACTGTTTTGGTTTTTATGTTTCATTTTTTTGTTTGTTTTTTTAACTCCAAAAATACATTTAGACTTCAAGAGTACACAGTGGACAACGGAATATTTAACGGACAAAGCAACCTGTAATACATCCTACCCCTCCTCATGTATATTTAAAGTAATTGTATTCAAATTTCTCAATAATTATCACAATTTCTGAATAATGAAAATTTTCCAAGAAAACCTGAATGAAGTTTTCCACCTCAGAGATACACATATACTTCCTAAAGTGAAAGCGTCCTGAGACATATTATTCCATACATCTGGACAATAGCAATTGAACAGCTTCTGGGCTAATAGAAACAAATCTAAATCTTACCTGAGACAATTCATTTGTGTCCACAAGTCCATTGCTGTCAGAATCAAAATAATGAAATATCTGATCTACGAGCAGTTTCCTTAAAGCCATTTTCTCACCAACATTTCTATCTTTGGATTGAGCAGCATATCTCTGATTTTGAAGATCCAATAACATATTTTTCACTTTGCTGTATTCAGTAGGTTTGCATTTATCTCCTGAAAAGGAAACACACAACACGAGTTTATTTTGAATTTAATTTCATAGGAAGGGGGAGAAGTAAATTAAAAAATAAGGATAAAAGAAGAGAGTATTAACTCTTTGTAACAACATCAACAGGGTTTGCCTTATGAGGCAAGGAATTTGTTCTGCTGTATCTTTATCCATATCATTTCCTTATCTGGTTTTCATTTAAAAACCAAAAATAATCACAGTTCTAGACACTTAGCATAGATAAAATCTTCCGTGTATCAAAGCTAAGGAAAGTCTGAACAGCTTTAAGCCTGTACTTCTCTCATTCAAGTCATTCTGAAGAAGAGTATCTGAAGATTTAATAAAGTGTGACCTTTAGGAAATTATTTTGTGTAAACATTCATATTGTCACAGTGCAATATATGCAGGTATAGCTGAAAATATTTTAAGAAACCATACATTCCAGAGAAATTGTTTCAGAACATTTGACTTTACAAATTAGAAACCGCACTTGAGTATTCATAAAGTAGCTTTAGCTTTCCGTGTACCGGACAGATGAAACTCAGGTGAAAAAGAGAATTTGAATTCACAAGAAGAAAAGAAATGATGCCTAGGATAAGATCTACTTCAATTTTTTCATTATTGAGCCTTTCTGTGAAGTGGAAGTTATTACAACAAATGTCCTGCACACGATGATTATAGTCAATGATTACAGCTGCTGTTTTGAAATACAATGTAATTTACTTCTGGTATACTATTATATCAGATGCTTTATATTTTAAATTGAATAGATAAACTATTTAGGAGTTCTGGGGTTTTTTTTCTTTGTTTTGTTTTGTTTTTCATTGAGATAAGCTTCATAAAGATCAGATATGTAAATGTGGACCAGTAAAATACAGTTACCATGTACGTGTTGCAAAAAAATAAAAATAAAAAAATGACACTTAGCTACTATTTGCTATCTCTAACATGACAGAAATATGCTGTGTTGATTAGCAAAGAAAGCTGTGTTCTAATTATTCTTTTCAGAAAAGACTAGTGTAAAGGAGGACAAATATTTATCTCACAGAAGTTGCCTAAAAATTTACTCTTCTTTTAAATTGGAGATCACCACTTCAGTGAACATAACATCATTGCATTGCTATGAACCCCTACCATCATTTGGTAAGGTAGAGAGAGATGAAGTTCATACATGCTTCTTGTAACCTTACAGGGAAATTCAGATCTGAGAGGCCTCCTATGATGGAAGTTAAATGGTACAGGTACAAAAAATATTTTTAAGAATTCAAAACACTCTAGGTTATCTTTTATTTCTAAAAGCTAGTAATAGGCAGTAAATACATGACAAATCCAAATGTCGCAACAGCAGGAAACAAAACTAAACTGTTTTTACTGTTAAACTTTTTAACAGCCTTATCTACATACAGCGTTCGCATGTTTGTCCTTCATTTGCCAGAGGCATGGAGACTGAGGACATGCAATTTGTAGAACTGACTGTAGATGCTTTTCAGAGATAATGCAGGAAACTCAGTAGGGAAACAGAAGGATTCTGTAGTCATGCTCTATGTGTAGCGAGGAAAGTTTGTCATCCAAGTGGATCCAAGCTCCAGGTGATGGGGACGGAAGACAGCACTTGAGCAGACTAATACATCTGGGTTAACTCCAAATAACTGAGCCAGGAAAGGAAGCAGCACTTTGTCTCCCCTAGACAACTTTTGTGGGTGTAATATCCTCAGAGTGACAAATTCGGTATTTTTCTCCAGAGCAGCAGAAATCAAACACCACAAATGACATGACATGTCATGGTTACAGTCTTACCAGTGTTCACATTTTTCACGAAAGTGTAAGTCCTGCTTATTTGTTAGACAACACACTGGTCATACCTAGTTACTACGTCTAGATCCTAGCCCCAGGAATTTGTTTTCGATCAGACAGTTCCCAGTCTGTTATTCTAAAGCTTGCAGAGATTTTTTGCCTTAGCAATATGGAACAAAAGTAAAGCAGTTTATTTCCTTATAAAATCAGATACATTAGAGTATCTCATTAAGTCATGAAAGCTCTGAGTTAGAAAAAAAAAAAAAATAAAAGAGGAAAATTATTTATAAATGAAGAATGCTCATTCCCCTAACCCAACTAGAAGATGAATGATCAAGAATTGGATACAGATTCTTGCATCTATGAAGACTTCATGGTGATGGAAAAAGTTTTACAGGCTGGATAGAGCTGTGAGCTACCTGGTATAGAGGGACACGTCCCTGCTTACAGAAGGGAATTGGCACTAGATGACCTTAGAGGCCCCTTCCAACCCAAACCATTCTGTGATTTTCAATCAGCTGCAAACAAGGTAAATACAGTTCACAAAGCAATTTCATGACTCTGGTAACCTACCTTCAGTAGATGATTATTTTCAATTCAACAACAGTGGCAAAGCCAATGTTCTTTACGGGGTTGCTTTGATCATGGCTATAAGATAACAGCTGTAATTTGCTCTTCATGTGTTCCTCTTCACTCAGATCAACTCAGAAATACCTTCTCTGCCCTGATAGTGCTCATCATCAGTTGTAGCTCAGATCCTTTCAGCGCTTCCCTAACTTGTTTGAAAACTAGTCCTCATGAAAATACTGCCATCACCTTTTTGAAAAATTACTTTTAAAAAATGTTTTAAAACATCTTGTAAAACAGATATTATTTTGCTTCTTCTAAATTGTTAGTCTGACCCACATGACACACTTGTCTGTAATACAGAAGCAGTATTCTCTGATGACTTAATCAGAAAAGGACATCAAGGTCTGTGGATGCGATCACACAGTTTGCATATAAGAGTAGCTCTGAAAGCAATAATCATGTATTTTAACTCAGTGTCAACTGTCTACAGTATCTTACAAAAATTGTACAGAAAAAAAATAAAAATGAATATCACCTTGGAGCAGCTTTGATTTATTTATTTGGTGTGTGTGCGATTGCTCATAATGAATAAAGACCAAATAAGTTTTCTGCTCTTCAGGCATGTAGCTATTTGAAAATCTTGGGAGAGTTAACAGATCTGGGTAAACAGGGCATACGCTGCACCTGCCAGATGGTTGCTCACTTTACCTGTTCCCCAGTCTTATGATATTGTTTGAGATTATCAAGTTTCTTGCAATATATGCAGTAAAAAACATGTGACATACTTGCTATTTTAAATAAAAATAAATAAGTAGCTGCTGCTTGCAAACACTAACGAGGAATGAAAAGGAAAGTATTCACTGCTACTTACAGTACGTATTCTTAAATAAATGCAGCCATCTTACGCTGAACAACGTGTAGCAATTCTACCTTGAAGTGTCACTACATTAATTTTCTCTATTACTACCATATTTTTCATTCTGTTTGTCAAAGTAATCTGTTACAATGGAATTGTTGTGCTTAGATCTAAACATCCATCTTTTACTCTGGATTCTAACAAATTTTAGGCTGGTGACAATTCAACCTTCAGTTTATGCTCTGAGCTAATTGCAGCCATGCTAACAGGTGCACACAGGTTTATTACATTAAGACATTTTCACTTTATGGATGAAACAACATGGTTTTTGTGCCAAAGGCATCACAGATCTGAATATCGAGTAAAATATTATTAATGGACGTAACTGACAGGAAAAGGGATCATAAGGAAACAGCGACACACTGTCACCACAGTTGTTTAACAAATCATCCTCTTATCTCATTGTCATGACCCCCTTTTAATGTAGTACTCAAGATATAATTGCAGTAGATGTTTCAATTGAGAAGAATGAGGCTCTGTTGATGTATAGAGGAGCACTCCTAGGGTGGAGTAGCAGCACAGGAAAGAACTTGGGGAGCTGTACTATTTCTGTAATTAGCATAACCCACAAAATAGTTGTATGAAAGGCACACTAACAGGCAAAAAAGGGATTAAAGATGCCAACCTTGAAAGTGAGGAAAAGTAATTTAAGCTTAATGCAACGGAGAAAGAAACATTCGGCAACTTGTATTACTCCCCAGTATTACAAAAGTCAAAGATGGTATATAACAAAACCAGAAAGGATGATTCATCAGGATACACAATGAACCTCACCACAACAGACTTTCAGACTGTTGACACATTTTGGGATTTATCTCTGTAATTATATTGTTACATTTAGACAAACAAAACGTGTCACAGTTCTAGTTCTGTTTATGGTTCTGAAGGAAAATCCGTAAGATATATATTCCTAAAGCTCCTCCCCAATAAATCAGTTAGACTATGTCAGTCAACATTAATTATCAAATTATCATTTATCATCTTAATATTTATATAACATATGAAGTCCTGAATAATACTAAAGCATTCAATGTTGAAAAAACTAAGTTGCATATAATTCTATCTATATGTGAGAGCAATCTCTTTATTGAGCATAACTTCATAATTTCAGTTTTCTGATACTTTTTTTTTTTGCTTCTTCATTTCTGAACTGGGCTTACTGTACAAATAAGCCATTGAATTTTGAATTCCCACAAAACATTAGTGGTAAATATTTGTTTTGCTTGCTCTTTTTTGTTTGTTTCATTCATGGAAAAGAGCTATTCGAGCACGCAGAAAAGTTTTACAAAACCACTGCTGTGATTTCTTTTACAAGTTTTCTGCCACCTCCTGTAAAATCTTAGATGTACAGAAACCCAAAAGTAAAAGACATGCATTAGAATCAGAATGTCAGTCTTCTGTTCCATACCTTGTAATTTCTGAAACAGCACTACTTCTATGATTTACTTAATTCAAATTCCAAAATAGGAGAAAAGTGCAAATGTTTGGCTGTTAGTTTCTCTCCATTTGACACAGCAGTTTTGCAGCTGTATCTTTGTTACCTAGGAAACAGTCGGAAATTAGAGATTGAGTGCTATTGCCATCTTTGACAGTTTTGAACGTTTGTCCATAATACAGAAAAATTATTATATTTGACAATTTAACATGCTAGAGAATAAGATATATATGGAAACTAATTGGCTATCTGTAAAAACTCAGCAATACAATAGCACCCCTATTCTTATT